ACAGAGGGTGAACAGACAGGAGAGGAAGGGACTTCCCAGGGAACTTCTTGGATGCTGGTGACGTGAGTATGCGCATTTATCGATGCTCATTAAACTATACACTTTAGATCCGGACACTGCATTGTACAGATACTGTACTTCAATAAAGAACATGTAAAAATCAAATATTAATAACTAAACCTTAGAGGAGGGGTTTGGGGGCCAGTGGGGATTGATTTCTTATTCTGTGTGGCTTCTTTCTCAGAGGTATTTCTCCACTCATAAACCACGATGATCATATAAACTCCCTAATCAGGTGGTTAACACCATCTGAGGACACAGAAAGCATAATAAATGACAACCACTATCATCGGTTAAGAAATTATTATTCAGAGTAGACGTAGCTTCGAGCTAGTCCCTGCCCTGGCTGCCTGTTCCCAGACATGCTGCAGCAGGTCCAAAGTTCATCCCAGCATCGTTCCAGGAGTTAAGACTTGTGAGCCAAAAGCGGCAGGAGCTTCCTCTCAAGGACTTGGCCCCATTCTCCACTACGGCCTCCAGAGACAGCAGTGACGTACAGTGAGTGCCCCAATCACCGGAGGGGATGCGACTGGGTCGGCCTGCCAAGCATCCTGGAGAATCCCACCTTCCCAACTCCTGGTCCAAAGGATCTTGGACTGGCCAATCGGAGCACTGCTTTTCCTCAGGCCACTTTCCTGGCTCAGATAGGGCTGTGATCCAAGCTGGACCCCCGAGATTCAGCCTGAGAACGTGGGCAGAACTACAGGGAAGAAGGACCTCTCGGTGCCCAGGAGGCCCCAGGCGGGTGATGTCCTCAAACGCGAGTTCCATGAGAGCGGGCAGTTTGGTCTGTTTTGTTGACTACCAAGTTAGTCATCCTTCCTATACTTCCTAGTACCGGTCCTGGCACACAGCAGGCACTAATTAAAGATCGCTGAATGAGTGAATCACAGTTCCTTAATGGACTGAAGCGTATTTCTGTCCCAGACAACAACCCCACCTCACTCTCCACCCGGACCCGGAGAGAACACACAACTTAGTACAGACAGCATCTGGAAATCTAAGAGGCACAAGGGGAGCAGCTGACGGAGAGGCCAGGAGCTCACTGTGCTCCAGAGTGGGGCGGCCCTGGGTTCAAGTCCTAGCTCTGCTGTTTACTTGCTGTGTGACCCTGCACAAGTGTCTCGAACTCTCTGCATCTCCATTTCCTCTTTTTCCAATTGGGGACCCTAATCCGTAGCTTGCAGGGAAGGTGTGCTCAGTCTCTTAATCTGTTGAAGCAGTGTCCAAGGTGGTAATCTACCTCGTGGGGGTGGCAGGAAAGAATTAATACTGGTGAAGACTACAATGGCCTTGGTGCTTATGATTACTAACTCTATATTATTCTTCGCCACCTTATTCACTCCCCTGTCATTAGACACTAGAAGTGATAGTCACCACCTTGACCCCCAGACGGCAAAGGGTGATCAGCAGTGAGGGGAGGCTCCTGGGAGCTTCTGGGAACATATTTTTCTCCTTGAAGAGCTCTCTCTCATTTCCATGTGCCCTGCACACGTATACACACAAACACACTTCCTTTCTTTGGACACTGCAGGATAAAGGCATGATGCCAGGAGCTCCAGCAGCCCTTTTGAGGCCTTGAGCAGAGTTACTGCCTGAATACAGAGATAGCAGAGACAGAAAGAGTCCTCAGGTTACCTAATGACATCACCAAACCACCAAACCAACCACAGTGCCACGTTCCTCCACCAACGATAAACAACATCTTTGATTTAAGATTTGATTAAGATTTATTGGCTGGGTTTTCAATTCATCATAGATGAGCACAAACTGATGTGTTTTGTTCTTTCTCTTGCAATAAGCATACATTTTGTAAATTCAGTAGGTCCCCTTTAAAACTTTGGAGGAAAAAAACCCCTAAAACCCTAAAACCCAAAAGTAAAATAGAATTGAATTCGATTTTTAAAAAATCAGAGATAAAAAATGGCAACGCACTCATCAGGGAATGCTGAGCCCTCAGTGGCGGGCAGCTGCTGCGGCTGGATGCTCAGAAGGCAGGACCCATGACGGTCTGGAAGCCAGTGGACGGCTTAGGGAAGAGGGGGGTGAGGGAGCTCTGAGCGAATCACCAGCTACAAAGAGGCTTAGGGGTCTGGAGCGAGGTCAGCTGGAGCCCGAGCAGCAGGAAAAGAGGGAGAGCCAAGAAACTGGAAATGGGGTAAGACTCTAGTCAGGGGCAGAGGCACATCCTGCCTGAGACATCAGGGTGGCTGAGTCATCGGGGTGGCTGGGACATCGGGGTGGCTGGGACATCGGGGTGGGCCTCTAAGGAACTGACCACAGAGTCTCAAGGAGGGGTGGACAAGGTCTTTCTTTGGGGCACAGGAAAAAAATATCAGAACTTCTGGTTATGTTTATGTTTTGAAGGAAGAGGAGGGAAGGGAAAGAAAAGAAAGAAGAGGAAAAGGAGGAAGGAAGAGGAGGAGGAGGAGGAGGGAAGAAATTGAGCTTTACCAGGCACACAGATACACTGAGGTCGACTACCCAGATGCGCCTCTCAGCAGGCAGCTGCCATCACGCCAAGGTGTGAGCAGAGTTACTGCCTGAATACAAAGATGGTAGAGACAGAAAGAATCCTCAGGTTACCTAATGACATCGCCAAGCCACCAAACCAACCACAGTGCCACGTTCCTCCACCAACGATAAACAACATCATTGATTTAAGATTCGATTAAGATTTATTGGCTGGGGTTTCAATTCATCACAGATGAGCACAAACTGATGTGATGAGGCCCAGACGCTGGAAGTGACACGGGCACCCTCTCCTGCCCGCTCAATGTAATGCAGCCCAGGCAAACAGACTCTCAGACATTCTCAGGCTGCACGTCGACCAGCCCTCACACAGGGGCTTCTTAAAGACTCCTGGCTCGGAACCCCAGGACTGAAGACTTAACGGTGTCGGCATGAGCACATTCCAACAAATGCCTCCACACGGGAGGGTGGGACTGAAAAATGAGCAGCGCGATTGAGCGCAGCCCACGGCACACTGCACTCGTCTGGATCCCCGTGCAGTCACGTCTCTGCCAGCTGTGACGGCTACACGCGAAGAATGCCAAAAGCAGGTCTCACAGAGAGCTGCGCTTGTGCATTTAACAATGTCTGCATGAGACGGCGTTTAGTGAGAGCAAAAATATTTGGCGGGTCCGTATATAGATAAAATAAACACTGTATTTTTAAAATATTAATTTCAACGCTTTTAATTTTTGTGGGTTTTTAAATGCATATACTATATTTGCAGTATCATAAGCTAAATATATGTGACTGCTAAATAACCATATACATACACACACGCAGAGGACAATGCACAAAAAATATTTCCTGCACAGAAGAGCATAATGAAACCTTTTGGAGGTCACTGGCAGCAGCCCGGCTGTCACCATATCTGACTTGGTGCTCTGGGGATGATACACAGACTCCAGGGAAGTGATTTTCAAACACTAGTGCACACGAGAATGCTCTGGAGAATGTTAAAAATAAAACATCCCAGGTGGGTCCGAGCAGGGCCTGCAGGTGGCGCTCCTGGGCAACTAAGGGGAGCGGCCCACAAAGCTCCCTTCTGCCCCTTCGGATGGGCCACCTTTCAGTCACCAGTCCTCTCGGCAGCTGTGTTTAATCTGGTGTTTCTTTAGTTCTTCTACTAAGCTCTGAACGTCAATTGCTGTACTGGTCACTTCTCAAAGTTTCACCTGGTTAATTTTCTAACTGCCTGGTTATTTCTTTTTATTGTACTTATGTTTTTTACATCCCTCCTGTTTTACCCTCTTCACACATCAACACGGGCACTTGACCTCCACATCCGACCATCCCAGGAGGCGCAGTGCGTGCAGGCCCTGCCTTGCCCTGCCGTGCCCGGCCCTGCACGCTGCGGCAAGCTGCATCCTGCGCTCCCATGAGCCCGGGCGGCCTGAAGGAGCTCCCCACGCCGCGGGCGGGGCGGCGCCCCTCCGGGGAGGGTCTGCCCGTCCTTGCCGGGTGCTCCAGGCACACAGACCCGAGTTTATTTCCAGCCTGCTGTTCCCAGGCCCTTTCAGAGAGTAATTCAGGCCCAAACCCACCTGAGGGGCAGTCAGTGGCCACAAATTCTCAGAGGCGACCTTCGGTCTCCGCCTGGACCTCAGGCCATGTGCCTCCGCGGGCTGCGTTTTTCTGGTTCACCCCTCCCAATGAGGCGCCTTTGCCAGGACCCGCTTTAGGGAGGCGGTCAGTCCCCGGGGCCAGGTTTCCCACGGCATGGCCCGTCCGGGGGTGGCAGGCAGCCCCAGGGCCCACTCCCCTCCTCGGCCTGGCTCTCGCTCTCTCCTCGCTCTGGGAGGAGTCCCTTTTCTCCCTTGCTGGTACCGCCACTCATTTCAAAGGATGCTTTAAGCAGTTTATCAAGCTTTAAGTAGTAGGAGGCTCTCTCCTCGGCCACACTGCCCTCTCTCTGGCTGACTCTGTCACTTTTTTTTTTTTTACTGAGAAATATAACTCCAATCCCAGCGCCTGATCAGACAAACAAAACCAACGCCCCAAGCTAGTGAGAAATGTTCACACGAAAGCCCAGAGCCTTCCGCCTGACATGAGCCCGTGAGGGCTGACTGAGGAAGAGGGATGACACCATCTAGAGCAGCGCAGTCCCCAACTTTTGTGGCACCAGGGGCCGGTGCTCCTATGAGGATCTAATGCCTGATGATCTGAGGCGCAGCTGAAGCGGTGATCCTGATGCTGGGGAGCGGCTACAAATATGGATGACTGCTTGCCCGCCGCTCACCTCCTGCTGTGCGTCCTATTCCTGAGAAGCCATGGAATGGTACCAGTCCGCGGCCCGGGGGTGGGGACCCCTGTTCTAGGGGCTTGAGGTACTGTTTGCTCAGCCGTGACGGGAGACCCGGGAGCGCACACTGAGAAGGATAGCGCTAAAAAAAAAAAAATGATGAGATAAAAATAATAACGATGCCTGACATTTCTATACATTCCCCAAACGTTTATGCAGCAACTTAAAGGCCAGTCACTGCTTAATGCTTTACGGATATTAACTCGTGGAATCAACCGAGCAATCCAATTTATAGATAACAACATTGAAGCCCAGAGAAGTTAAATAACTTGCCTGGGGTCACGGAGAAGGTGGCAGACCTGGCCCTCACACCAGGCAGCCCAGTCCCAGAGGCCTGTCTTCCCGGCTCCGCTGCTGATTACTGAACTCAGAAAGTGCCAGGCCTGTGCTAAGGGTATTCGTGCTAGCAACAGATCCTCCCATCTCACCTATGACGTGAGTGCTATTCTGCACACAGGAGGAAACCGAGGTATGGAAAGGCACAGCGACTTACCCGGAACACTAGTAAACAGTAAAGCAGGGATCTGAGTGCAGAAGGAGGTTTTTAGCCTCTTCTGATAAGAACATATGATAAGAACAAATTCTGTACGTGCTCATAGCCAGTACCAACAACCAGATGCACATGCTCAGTGTGAGCCAGGCCCTGACACCTGCTGCTTCCTGCATCCTCAGGTGAGTTCTACTACCACCTTCATCTGCCAACATGGAAACAAAGGCTCAGAGAGGTCAGGTTGCTTGCCCAAAGCCATGCGGCTAATAATTAATGCCCAGACTCAAATCCAAGAGCATCCACTGTGTAGCAGACTGCCTTTGGTGACCCTCCACGTCGCTCCCCGTACAGATCCCACCCCACACTCACTCTGGTCTGTGCCAGAGCTGCCTTTGACCAATGGAATGTGGGGAAAATGACACAGTGCTGTTCCAGGCCTTGCCCGTGAATGGCCTGCAGCTTCTGCTTCCTCCCTCCTGGAAATCTGGCTTTTGGGAGCTCTGAGTCACCATGTGAGAAACCCAGCTACCCTTGGTTTAGTCACCTCTGTAAAGCCCCCTTTGCTGTGTAAGGTAACATACTCAACAAGTTAGGGACTGGGATGTGGCCGCTGGCGGAAGTGGGGCATGATGCTGCTGCCTGTGAGTGCTACACTACAATAAGGACCAGCATGCTCTGACGGGATAAGCAGAAACCAGCTGGAACCTGCCAGCTGCCCTGAGACATCCCATAGCTCCTCTGGAAGTGTCAGCAAGTGCCCTTTGCAAGAGCTGCCTCAACCTGCCTGGCAACATCAACCTCCTTTATTTATTTCTCCCCTGGAAATCTTTGTTTAAAAAGATCCTTGCCTCCGCGACATGCAACATAGTGCATGCATCATCAATGAGTTCCGCTTTGGGGATTTGCTGATCTTCCCTCAGGCAGATGCACCTACCACTCCAGCCTCTCCTGTGAGAACATGCACAGCCGGGCCTACTCTGCTGAGCGAACCCAGCCAAAGGCACAGTCGCTAGATGTGCTTGCTGGTCAGCTCGGGAGGCCTGATCTGGGAGAGCACAAAGATGCTACTGGCTCTGGGAAATTCTAATCACACAGGCTGGGGGCCACAGCGAAGGGCCATTAGCAGTGTTAAGATAATAACAACACAATAAAAAAAGTGTAAAGATTAAAGTCAGTGTGCTCCAACACCTAATAGCATCTCCAGCTAAAACTGTCCCAGACTGAGCTCCCGGTCCTTTCTGTGAAACCTGCCCCTCCTCCAGTCTGCCATGTCCCACCCAATCCACAGGAAATCCTGCGGCTCTACCCTCCAAACAAATCTCCTGGTTATTCACTACTAAGGGGAAAAGGAAAGGTTCTCTCAGTGCTCACTACCTTAACCAAGGGATCCAAGTTAGCGTCACAAATGACGGAAGTGACGGACAGCAGGAGCCCCCTGAGGTGATGTCCTTAGGACACACCAGCAAATCTGTGGTGTTACTGCCAAAGATGCTCGACGGGAACCCGATCAGAGGAAACGATCAGAAAACTCCAGATTGTGGGACACTCTAAGGGGCAACTGGCTTGGACTCTTCCAAATGTCATGAAAAACGAGAAAGGACAGGGATGCTGTTACAGAGCAGGGTCAGCAAACATTTTCTGTAAAGGGCCACAGAGTAAATATTTTAGATTTGTGGGCCACACGATACGCAAAAATATGTGATTATGGTTAGCAACTGTACTGGTAACCATACCATATTTTGATTTCTCCAATTGTCCCCCAAATGCCCTTTGTACTGCTTATTATTTTTTTTTAATCTAGAGTCTACTCGAGGATCATGCACTGCATTTGATTATCATGCCTCTTTGGTATTCTTTAATCTACGGCAAGGCTCAGCAATCCTGCCCACTGCCTGCCTTTGTAAATAAAGTTTTATTGAAATACAACCATACGCATTTGTTTGCCCACAGGCCCTGCATGATCTGCCTGCCCTTCTTATCACCACCGGTTTTCCCTCTGCCCTCGGTCCCCACTTAGTCTCTCTGCTCAGCTACGATGGCCTCGCTGTTGGCCAAACGTGCCACGCTCACTCTCTCCTGCCTTCAAACACTCCTTCTGCATCCCTGATGTTTTCTCCAAAGCAGTTATTATTATCTAATATACTTAATATTTTAATTAGTGATTTTGTTTATTGTCTGGCTTCCCTTACCCCGAGAATTAAAGTCCCTGAGGACAAGATTTTTTGCCTTTTCTTTTCTGCTGTATCCACATGTACACAATAGCCACAATTTAGTGCCAACCTCTGACTTAACACCGTATATCCATTTATTCCTCACAATATAAAAATTATTCATAGCATAAATGCATATATAATATACAGTACACAAAATGGGATTAATGACAGTATCAATCTCATAATAATTTGTGAGGATTCAATGCTAGAAGCCCTGTGAAGTGCTTACCACACACTGTGGTACAAAGCATGTGCCCATTCAATGTTCCTATTATATAGTGCCCACTCTGCAGAAGAAGAAACTGAAGCTTAGAGGGGTTAAGTGACCTGCCCAAGCTACCCAAATGGGAAGGGGTGGGGCCCAGAATGGAACCCACGTCAGTCTAACTCGAGAAGCCACTTTGTACACCACAGTGCTAAGACATATCACGGCTTGAGAACAAGGCAGTGGCAGGAAACAGAAACCAGCTCTGGGAATCCACAGCACGGGATTTCAGTCCTGCCTCTGGCACAAACTCACATGCGACCTCAGCAATTCACTTCTGTCTCAAGGCCTGCGTTTTCTCTTCTATAAACTGGGGAAAGTCATTTCCCCTCCATGACATGGGGATAAAATGAGATAGGTGACATGAAAGGACTTGGTAACTGTGCAAACCAACACTCTTCCAATCTAAGATGTGCAGCACTGGCAGAGAGTTCACCAAACACCAATGGATTAAGAATTTTAGGCCCTGGAATGCAAACTTTAAACACCCAAATTTATAAGGAAAAAAACGTGTATTCCTCTTAACCATTTGGCCTTTGTATGTGTCCCTCCTTCTTCCTCCACGTCATCCTTGTCCCCGTGTTGTCTGGTGAGGCTCTCCTCACCCTTCAGGTTCCAGCTCAGAGGTCTCCTCTGCCAAGAAGCCCTTCCTGAACCCCAAGCCAGGTCAGGCATCCAGTGGGCTCTTCCATCCCAGCTCTGCTCATTTTAGGTCATCACTCTTGCAGGATGGGTCTGTCCCCACTAGACTGTGAGCTCCTTGAGGGCACAGACTGAGGTGATTTGGTCCCTGCTGTTTCACCGACACTGCCCAGCACAAGGCCAGGCAGAGCTGATGCTCAGAAAATACTAGCTAAATGAAGTGATGGATGGATAGATGAATGGTGGTTCTCTGATCCAGCAAATTACTTTAAATGTCCTTATTTTATGCTGACATAGACCTATAGCATATAGTTCATCTTTTAAAAGTAGCTCGTTATTTTGAGTGTGTACTATGCCCTTCAGATCTCAGCTTGGGCTGCCCTCCTCTAGACAGCCTTCCTGGCACCATGCCCCTGGATCAGATGGCCTCTCTGAGATCCGAAGTTCCCACCACCCTGACCACTCTGGCTTGACGGGTCATGAGTGTGTCTCCCAGCACTCAGCAAAGCGCCAGCACAGTATGTCTACTGAATGGATGGACGAATAAACACGATGTGTCACTGGATTAATGAATAGATGAATGAATGTTCGCTCTGATTAAAACCACCCTTTTGCCAGATTCCCAGGCCACGTCCCCGGACCCCAACTTCGCCCTGAGCCACACTTCTAAGCCAGGCCTCCTTCCCGGAGTATAACTGGGGCAAACCGATGTCCTAAACGGATGATGTACAAGGACCTCTCACCTCCAAGACGGGAGGAAAACTGAGGCACGAGATGGAGTTAGGGAAGCTCAGGCACCAAAGGATGGCCTGGCAAATGACCCCGTCTGGTCCCTCCTCAGCTCGGCCCCTAGCTCCACTCTGTCCTGGAATACCTCGCCCAAATTACTCTCGTCCCCCACACTATTGGCTCGCCTAGACATCAGTCTCCATGCGCTCTCTTCCTCTATTGGCCAGTATTTTCAACACGGGAGCGGGCGCTCTGCCCCACCCCTTAGGACAAACCCGTCCTTACGATTGGACTACCCGCATGCCCTTATCCCAGGAACCCTCCCTATTGGCTGCAAGACTTTGCCGGTTCGAGCTGTGATTGGTCGTGAACCCGGAGCAACCACCTAAGAGGGGTTGGAGAATGGAAAGGTTGGAGGGACACGGGGTCAGACTCACGCTGAGCCGGCGGGAGGCAGATATAGGTCTTGAAGAACTCGCTTCGGCGGGCGGCCTCCTTCATGCGGTTGGCAAGCGGCTTGCTGATCTGCCGGATGCCCAAGTATAGCAGCTTCGCCATAGGGAACGCGCCCACCACCATCTTGGCGGTCGCACGGGGCACGCGCAACCCTGCTGACTGGGCGGGGCGCCTCCAATCTCTCCCTCCTCCCCCGCCCACTCATCGCCGTGCGTGCTTGCGTACGTGCGTACGCTCGGGGGGGAGAATGCAGGGGCGCTCCCTGACGTCACCGCGTCATCGCCGACGCCCGGGCGTCCGTTTACTGAATATGCAAATATACGGCGGAAGCGAGGCGGTCAGAGGGCGATGCGGTTAAACGGCAGCTCGCTGGAACGTGGATGGGTTCCCACGCCCGCGTGGCTGGTGTCACCGCGCTCTTTCGTGACGTTACGTACCTAGATGGCCTTTTCGCCCAAATGAGGCCCTTAGTCCTAATTAGGGCTAATGAATCCCGAATACACCTACCCCCGCAGATTAGAGCTCTCACCGTGTTTGCGAGAAAGCTCTCTTTCGTCATACAGACCTGGTCTGGGATAACAGTTCCGTCATTTACTTGCTGTGTGATATACTGGACGAGTGACTTGACTTCTCTGGGCATCAGTATTCTCATCCGCAAAATGTGAATCATAATAGCACTCACTACTTTACTGGGTTATGTGAGGTTTGCATGCGAATCTCGAATGTAGAAAGATAGTGAACTATGTCAAGTGCTTAGAGTGGTGCCAGTCACATAGTAAACACTCAATAAACAGCCCTTATTACCGTACAAGTATTAGCATCATTTTTGCTAGCTCTAGCATGAGGATGTATTTCATCTCCAGAAGCAGCTAATCCAGCCGCTTCCCAAGTAGCCGAAAAAGGCCCAGAGAGGGACAGGGGGCTGGCAGGAGGTTCCCCAATCAACAGAAGTTGATAGCCCAGCATCTTGGCTAATAAAATCATACTCGTTCTCAAGCCCCATTGGGGGCAAGGGCCCCCAGGGAGCTGACTCAGGAAGAAGTTTAAGAACATGTCCCAGACTGTCCTCCCTCACCCAGCAGGGAGTAAAATTATATAAACAAGATCAGGAAGGGGTGGAGAGAAATTTCTAGATGGTGGAGTGCTGATGGGTAATTGAGAGATTCAAGGAGAGGCAGAGGGAGAGAAGACAGGAGCACAGAGAAGTGGTATGCAGGAGGAAGTGAACATTCAGGATGTAGAGTCGGGCACCCTGGGCTTTCCACCCCGACTGCCCGACCATCTTTCGTCAAGTGTCAGGCACTGACGGACCTCCATTTCTTTATCTGTAATGATGGCACTGGCATGTTTGAACCCAGATGTTCTAAATTATATACTAAGAATGCCAAGACCATAAAAAGAACCCGTCCCCAGGATCCCTTCTAGACTAAAGTTGCAAGGGAGCTTGGGGCCTGTTCAAGGTCCACATCCACTTGGTACCAACCCAGTTTACAGACTGGCCAACTGAGACTAGAGGATGAAAATGATTTATCCAATATTCCAAAGGTCGCCGGGATGAAGCTGAGCCTGGGATTTCTTGAGTGGCAGCCCACAGTCGTCTCCTCATCCCTAGAGAGTAACCCTGGGGCCCAAAGACCTACTGGGGGACTGAGGTCCCCCATGCTGGATTTAGGAAACTTCCAAACTTGTACATGACTTTTTTTTTCTGTATAATTCACTGCTGTTTCCTCGGTTCCTAGAACAGTGCCTGGCACACAGTATGTGCTCAATAAATATTTATTGCATGAATGGGAATGAGCATTTGGTGGAAGGATAATGTGCAAGTTTTTATCCGATTCTCTGAGGTGACTGTGTTCAAAGCGTCTGGCCCCCTACATCTCCATCTCAGTAGCTTTATGGCCGTGAAACGAGATGAGAAAATTACCAGGGCCCCCAGATCCCAGGCTCCCCTCCTTTCCCTCCCCCCAACACCAAAGCCCCAACTTCCTGCATCTCAGTAACCCCCCTCATACAAAACCATTTTCTTCTTTAAGTTTGTTTTTTTTCTTTATCCCCTCCTCCCTCCTCTTCATTTCTCTGAGAAGGGTTTCCAGGAACCTCTTCTGGGAACTTCTGGGGCAAGGGAGGGAGAGGTGTGTGTGTGTGTGTGTGTGTGTGTGTGTAGAGATCATTGCATCTCATCAGGAGCTTGGAGACTATTACACAGGGGAGGAAGAGAGGGAAGTGACCTATCAGGAGGGGTGAAGCCTGTGTAGATCTGAGTCCTTCCTCCTGTTCTCCAGCCTGGTTATAAATGAGGACCATTTCTGGTGACTCCTGGCGGCCAGGGAGGGAGGGGGATACCAGCCATGGCAGGCAGCCTTGGCCATTCTGGGGCGTGGGAACAGACGCATAGATGCGGAAGAGAGAGAGAGCCCAGGGTGGCCCCAGCTGACTCACCGCCTGTGTGACCCTGGGCTAATCACTTGGGCTCTCCGGTGACCGCCCTGGAATAGGGCCTGGGATCATTCCCAGAGGTCTTTCCAGCTCAGGCTCCCAGTCACCCTTTTCTCAGGATGGGCAAGAGGCTCACATTGCACAATCCCGCAGGTCCTTGTGCTTTTCTCATCATTTCTTCAAAATAAATCCCAAAGCTGACCACTGCCCCTTGCTCACTCCACCGCCCACCCTGGTCCAGCCGCCAATATCTCTCACATGGACTAATGCAGTCACCGCTTCACTGGGCTCCCAGCTGCTGCCCTAATTTCCCGTTCTGTTCCCCAGCAGCCAGCGAGATCCTGTTCACATTTAAGTCAAATCACATCCCTCCTCTTGTGGCTCTCATTTATCTCAGAGTAAAAGGCAAAGTCCTCACCAGGACTTAAAAAGCCTCAAAAGATGGGCCTCTGTCCCCTTGCCAGGGGACCTCCCTTTTCTGTCACACTTCATCTGCACCGCACACTGCTGTACATGCTGTGCCTCAAAGTTCAGGCTCTCTCTTCCTTCAGGCCTTCGGGCTGCTCTTCCCTCAATGCTCTTCCCCCGACAGCCACAGGGCCGACGCCCTCGCCTCCTGCAGGTCTTTGCTCAAACGCCACCTTCTGAGTGAGCCCTTCCCTGACCTCATCTAGATCACACTCCATGTCACTCTCCGTCCCTTCGATTGGCTTTATTTTTCCAGTTGCAAATATCATATTCATTTTTATTTACTCATTTACCATGAGCCCCGTGAGGGTGCAGCCTGGGCTGTCTTGGTCACTGTTGTATCCCCATCCCCTGCCAGCACAGGGAAGACAATAGGCACAAATAAATCTTAAACAAATGAATGAATAAATATCCTTCCCCTGGTTCCACACTTCCTTCCCCAGCCTGCCCTGCTCACTCCGCCTCCAGCCAGTTGACCTTGATTGCCCTTCACTTGGGTTCTGACATGCTCCCTCTTCTTCCTCATTCCTGATTTGGAGAATGCTGTTTATCCAGAAACTTGGAGTTGCTCTGTCCTCGTCTCTCTCCCCTACGTGACCGGAGGCTTCCCAAAAGCAAACGCGATCACTCCACGCTCAGTGAATTTCCCCTTCCACTTTCCCCTTGAATCACCTACTTTCACCTCCTTGTTGGAAATAAGCCTAACTTTTTTCTCTTTTTGTCTTGACCTTCTGGAAATTTAATTCACCGGTCCCCTCCTCCAGGAAGCCCTCTCTGACCTCCAGACTGGGTCAGACGTCCCTGGGGTTCCCTCAGACCCTGGCCTCCCCTGCCCGAGGCTTTCACACTCTGTGTCATCACTGTCCACTAGAGTGGGGACCCGTGAGGGCAGGGCCACCATGTCACTAGCACCAGTGAGCACAGGGCTGGATGCAGTTCACCTGAATTGGTAGGGGTCATGGTGGAGGATGACGGTTGACCAATGACCCGCCAGCCTCATCATCGTTTCTCTGTTTTCTTCTTGTGAATGGTAACACAGCCTTATTTACATACAATTTGCATATACTGGCGGAGGAGGGGAAAGGGCGTGTGGGATCGGATGTGAGGAGTGGGGGCTCCACGATTTGAGGTTCACTGCACCGGTGGCAGCATCTTCAGCTGCACCTGGTCCCCCTGGGAGGGCAGGGCTGCCGCCCAGCCGGCCACCATGGCCTTGGCCGCGCTATTCCTTTTGGAAGCGAGGGGCGTGTCCAGGGTGAGCGAGGCGTTGGCCATCTCCTGGGGCTTGTCGCTGGCCAGGAAGCGGAGCAGGTTGTGCAGAGCCTTGGCCACGTCGCTGCGAGCGCCCTCATTGACGAGGCAGTAGAGGATGGGGTCGGCCACGCAGTTGAGGCTGGTGAAGGCCAGCGAGCTGTGGTAGGCTGAGAACACACGCTCCTCGAAGCCACAGTCCCAGGGGCGGCCCAGGTAGACGGCACTGCGGGAAAGCAGGAGCACGTGGTAGGGCGCGAAGCAGACCAGCACGATGGCGATGAGGCTAAGGGCCAGCCGCTTGATCTTGGCCTTCTCCTGGCGCTCGGTGGACACACTGCCCCTCACGGCCCGCAGGATGCCACGGTAAGACAGCAGCATGAGGGCCCAGGGAAACAGGAAGCCCACGAAGACCCGGTAGAGATTCATCCAGGCCACCCAGCCTTCCATGGGGAACTTCTCGAAGCAGAAGGTGTGGTTGTAGCGGTCACGGAAGAGCTCGTCGTGGAACAGGGGTGCCGAGTTGGCGCCCAGCTCCGTGGCCCAGACCACGGAGCTCACGGCGACGGCCGTCTTGACGCGGCGCAGGCGGGCAAACCGCAGCGGGTAGGCCACGGCCAGGTAGCGGTCCACGGAGATGCAGCACAGGAAGGCGATGCTGATGTAGATGTTGGTGTAGAAGATGAACCCGAAGAGCTTGCAGGACCCGGGGCCGTGGATCCAGTTGTCGTGGTGCAGGAAGTAGTCGACCCACAGCGGCAGCGTGCAGATGTACAGCAGGTCGGCGATGCTGAGGTTCATCAGGTACACGCCCAGCTCGTTGCGCTGCCGCACCTGGCGGTAGGCGGCCCACAGGGCCAGGCAGTTCGTGGGCAGCCCCACGCCGATCACGAAGATGTAGAGGGATGGCGGGAAGAGGTGGTCCACGCGAGAGTCCACGTGGCAGCCCTCCCACGTGCGGTTGCCCATTCTCGGCGGCGCTCGGGCGTTCAGGTGCTTCCCCTGGCCCGGGGGGGCTGTGGGGCCGCGGGGGGCGGGAGGCCATCGGGCCTCCTGAGCCCCCTCCTTGTGGGCTCAGGGGAACATGGCGGAAGGCGGTCCACAGGGAGGAGATGAGGTTGCTTATGAATCCTGGGCCGGGGGCCGGGCAGGAAAGGGCGAAGCTTGAGAGGGGCCGGGCAGGATAGAATTACAACAGGAGGGAGGTTTGGGAGGGATTAACAAAGAGCTTCGTCAAGGGGGTGTTTATAGACCCAGTCTGAGTATAAACGAGGGACTATTGGGATAACACAAACAGTGGCTGAAGGGGATATTTACAGAGACAGGGATGAAGGCATCAGTGGGCCGTGGGGAGAGGGAGCTATCTGTACAGAAAGGAGAAATTAAGTATGGCCGTGCCGAAGCAATGGTGGGGTGGAATGTACTAGAAGACAGAGGAAACATATAGGATAGTGTCGAAATGGGACAGGGCTCGTCGTAAAGACCAGCCGATGTGGGCGGCGGCGCTGCCGGTTCCTAGGGCCCCGGGAAGAAAGGAGAAAATAAGTAAAACAGCCGCTGAGGAAATGACCAAAAAGGAGGTGTCCTGGCGGGGGGCGCAGACAGAAAGGAAGGCCTCCGTCTGGGGAACGTGGGAAGAGTTTTTCAGGAACAGGAAGGAGGTGAGTAAGAGCCAGATCAGAGGAAGGTTGTAGATGGGGCGGGATTTGGGATTTGAAAGGGGCTGGGGAGGGACTCCGGCTTGGTCCTCCTGGGGGCTGAGCGGCTGAGAGGAGGTGGCCCCACCTCGCGGGTCACAGCTGACTCTGCACGCCTGTGGGGAGAGAGGCCTGCAGTGAGGGGAGTCGCGGACTGGCCCCTCGCCCCATACCCCTCGCCATTAACTCCCACAGGCTGCAGGGGGTGGACACCCCGACGAGGTGACACCGAGCCCCATTCTAGAAAACGGATCTCCGGAAACACAGACTCGAGGTGTCAGATGTACTTGCCTAACGTTAAAATAATGACCCAGCTCAGATTTTAGAACTTTCTTCCAGAAACCGTGTCAAACCAGCCCAAGGATCCTGTCATGCTTTGGAAAATGCCAGATTAAGTGAACCCTGTCCTTCCACAGACACGGAGAAGGGGCCCAGAGAGGCTGGGTCACTTCCCACGAGGGACCTGCTGTGCAGTCTTGGACTTCTCCCTTCCCCCACCTGGGCCAACAGCAAGGCAGTGATGGAACCAGAACCGGAACCCTGGCTGGAGCCAGCCTCCCACTCCTAACCCGGGGCACCCCATTCTGGACCGTGCTGTCGATGGTGATAGTAACAGCTGGAGCTTACGAGTCCTACTTCCTAGCAGACCCTGTTCTAAGCACTTTAATGGGTATAAATTCATTAAAATTTATTGAACCGCGTGAGGAAAGCACTGTTTATTCCCCCCGTTTGACAAACTGAGGCACAGAGCGATTCGGAGACCTGTCCAAGGTCCTGATGACAGGAGCGTGGAAACCTCGGCTCTCACCCCCTTTGCTCCAGCCTGTGCTTCCGTTTTCACTGGAGAATAACTGGACAGAGAGAGGTCCGGGGCTCACAGCGGGGGCTGGGGACCAGTGCTGCTGAGCGCTGGGGGGAAGGGATGAGAGGGGGAGGGGCTGCCGGACTCCATCAAGGTCGGGGAGCAAGGGCAAGCCCGGGACCAAGACCTGCGGTCTCCTCCCTCAAGGACCACTCCCTTCATTGCCTCCACCCTTCTGACTTTTCCCAGTGAGAACCTCAGGCCTGTCACCACCCCCTCCTTTGGTCCTGGGAAAACCCGCAAGAACAGGGCAAAGGACAGTCATGGACCAAGCCCATGACCGTCGTCAGCCCCGGAGACAAGGGAAGCAAAGGCCTGAATCTGTGGTATCTTAGGAAACCATCGTACTGAGGGGCTTGCACGGGTTTAATATTATGGGCTTAAAAATATATATCTTAACTGGAAGCCCTGTCTGAGACAGTGACAGGGAGACGCTGCTCTGTGTTCTCTGTGAAATCAGGGGGCGCCTCTGAAGAAGCCCCGAGACACACTTTGAAAACCACTGGTTGCAGATAGGAGGGAGATTGAGGGGCTGAGTAAAAAGGTGATGGGATTAAGAAGTGCAAATCGGCAGTTACAAAATAGTCACGGGGATGTAAAGTACATCACAGGGAATGTAGTCCATAATATCGTAGTAACTGTGGGTGATGCCAGGTGAGGGCTAGACTAATTGGGGGGGATCGCTTCGTGAATTGACAGATGGCTAGCCACGATGCTGTACCCCCGAAACTAATATAAAATAACATCGAGTGTCTACCGTAATTGAAAAAGAAAAAAAAAAGAAAAAATATATAAAAAAGAAAAAGAAAAAAAAAAAAACACTTGAGCCAACTGGACAGATGAGGAAACTGAGCTCCAGGTCGGGGAGGGGATAAGCCCACGACCACACAGCGGGTCCCTGGAAGCCTCCCAGATGCCCGAGCACCCTTCCACAGGAAAGTCCTCTTGGCTCTGCCGAACCCCACGACAAACCCTGAACCTGTGCATGTCTGAAACCCCTGCCACTGCCTGCTCGGGGCCGCCATCACCGCTCGCTTGCCCGGACCCCTACAATAACCTCCTCGCTGCTTTTTTGGTTGCTTTCACCTCACTTCTCACGTTGCATCCAGAAATGTCTCTCCAACCTGGAAATCAGCTCTGGTTACTTCCCCGCTTGAAACCCTCCAAGGGCTTCGCACGGGCCTTGGGGTGAAATCTCAGCTCCTTGCCCCAAGTGACAAGGCAGGGCCGGACTTTCCTGCCCACCTCCCCTCCCCTGCCCCAGCGGGCTCAAGGCCAATGACCTTCTTTCCAGTCTCAAAACCTGAGCCCTTACTGTCCCTCCCCGTGGAATGTTCTTCCTTCAGACCTTAGGACTAGCTCCCCTGCCTCCTGTACCCCCTCAGGGAGGCCCCTGCTACTCAGAGTCCCTTCCCACCCCCCTACTCACATGTCCTTGTACCTTGTCTTTGTCTGTCTAGAGCGGACATTCCAGTAGGTCAGTCTCTTTCTGTTGACCGCTGTCTCCCGGGCATACGGTAGGTGCTCAGTAAATGACTGTGGACTGAAGGAACACAATTTGGTCAGCCCAGCCCCCAACGCGGGCTCCCTCTCCCCTTGAGGCAGCACCACCCCCGACTTCAGGCTCAAATAAGTCTCTGTGGGGTCCCAGAGAAAGAGGTGGGGGTGGGGGAGCGAAAAGGGCAATTATTACTATGCCACAATTATTACTATGCTACATAACTGACTCGAAAGGTCAAGATTCAATCCTGCTGGGTGCGTCCTTCCCTCTGTGGGGTCCTCAGAACGGCTGCCTTCATGGCTGGAATAGCACAATCCAGTCCCTCCCTTCAAATCAGACCCCGCCCCACCCCCCAAAACCACAACACCTCTCACCCCTCCCTCAGACTCTAGGTCCCCTCTGTCCTCCCTCTTCTTGGGACATGGAGGGAATTAGTTCTTTTTCAGGAGCCTCCGTTTCTCCTTCTTATAAACGAGGTGTACAACTTTTATACGCGTCACGTCAGATATAAAAACGCTTGGTGATATCATCTATAAATTATGTGGTATTGGAGCAATTATTACGATGCCACAAGCACCGGAGAGCTGAGACTGGAAACCCGGTTCGTAGTGGGAGGTGGCTCCCAGAGCTGGGATTTCTCTTCGCCCCACCCTACGGAGACCCCTGGGGTTCGGCGGAGGCCGGAGCAGGCACAGGGGCAGGAGACTAATTTCTGGCAGCCAAAGGAAATACACTTTCCACTGCCGATTTCCTCGAGGGGGAAAAAGTTGTGACGCTCACCTCTCCCCTATCCCATCCCTCCTCCTCAACGCACCTGCTTCTTGGGGGTGCTGGGCATGGGGGAGGGGCACTCAGACCACCTTCTCTTTCTCCGCTGCCTGAGATCTACTCACACCGAACCCTCAAAAGACAGCACAGGAGCACCAGACTTCGAATTCCACAGTGCAGCAGGCCTATTTGCGACGACTGTGGGTGAGAGGCTACTTCTGCCCCTTTCCTGGGACGGGTGGGGAAACCGAGGCCCCGAGGGGCAAGGCAGTAGTCTGAGTTACACGATGTGGGGAGATGGGGCAGCTCTGTCATTCTCAGCTGAAGAGCTTCACTCCCCTGAACATGACACCCTCTGGAGAACCTGCTCACAGATATGTGGACTTTTCTCACCATGAAAAAAGCAAACGGCTGTGGTGTCTTGGGAGACCCTCTGTCGCCTGAAGGCCCCCGGCCCCCAGCGTCAAGACCCTCTTCAATTCCTCAGGCTTTGTTGGGGACTCGATCCCTGAATGTCGCAGCCCCCACCAGAAGCTCCCCCTGTTCCACAGGCCCCCCTTTTTGGTCCCTGCTGGCCCCTCCCCAGAGGGGCAGGAGATAGAGATAAGCCCAAGTGTGGAGCGATAGTGGGGGGGACGAGAGGGGCTTCAAACCCCGGCCCCCACTTTCTGCCTCAGCTGCCCAGGCCAGATAAGTCCCTAGGTCTGGAAGCTGCCCCCAAACCCAGCAAGGATAAAGGACCAGGGAGTGGGGAGAGTTCAGAAGAGGGAGAGGCGATGCAGCCCCCCACATCCCTGCCGCCCGTTGCTCACTCACCAGCCTCGTTCCAGAAGCCACCGGGCTGCCTCTCCCCACTTCCCTCCTTCGTGGGCTCTGGCTCCCCCCTCTCCTGGCTCCCCCCCTCCCCGCCCTGCCCCCGGCAGCCCCAGGGGACTGGCCAGCTCCGGTCTGCTCATTAGGGGACGAAATACGATCACTGTGCCTCGCTCCCCACCTGGTGTCCTGGCGGCAGGCGGAAACCAGGGGGCAGTTAGGCCACCCTGACTGCCCCGCTGGGCCTCAGTTTCCCCTTTTCTACCAAAGGTCCCCGTCTCCCCCAACGCCCACACCACCGGGAAGGGACACCAGGGTCCTGACACTGTCCCTCTGATGTTCTAGATCCAATGTTCTCAAATCCTCAGGTTCTATTGTTAGTCCGGTTCACGGTTTACCACTGTATTATTGCCACATTCTAGAGCTTTACCTTTTTTCTGTTCTATTATTATTATCATTGTGGCTTTCCGTGCCCTCACCCGATATTTCAGGAGGCTCACATTCCAAGATTCGAAAGTTCTATTGTTAGAACGCTCTATGATTTTTTTTTTAACATTCTACGACTTTCATAATCTATTATTAAACTCTCAGTGATTATTATCTTTGCCAAGCAAAAACATGAATACGTATTTCCCCTTTTTTTAACACAAATGAGAACATACTCTATGTACCATGAACCCCACATCCTTTTCGCCTCTCATTTATTCTGTTTTTTTAACCTTCCAGTGGCCCAGAGTTCTAAGATCATACAGAATTCTGAGATACCAAGAAATCACAGGGGGGTGGGGTGGGCATTGAGTCACCACCTCCATCTAGCCCCTAAATTCTCACCACCTGGAGGGGACACTAGGGGCCCAGGCTGCCTCCCTACCCCTTGCCCAGAGGGCCTGGCCTCATCCCTCCCCGCTCGCTCACACCAGCTGAGTTATTATTTGTCTAGACACAAACCAAATTACAGGCCCTGTCCCGAGGGAGCAGTGGGCTTCATGGGGAGGGTCAGGAGACAGAGGCGGGTGAGATTTAAACCCTGCTCCCCCCCCACTTCCCTGCCTCTCTCTCTGAAACTCCTCACCTTCCACCCAGACCAGCCCCTGTCCCCTCTCCCTTGCCACCATCATGGTTTTAGAATATTTTCTCTGCTTCCAAAACGCTGCCTTCTGGGTCCCAGCTGCGCACGCTCACCCCAGCATTCTTCCCTCGTCCCCGTGAGGACCTCTTTCTCCAAATCGTTCGGACTTAGTGGCAGCAAAAGAAGCCAGATCGCTGGATTTGGGCTTCCGCGGAAGTAGAGTCCCAAGCCCCAGCCTGGCACTGGCTCCCTGTGGGGACCTCTGCTGTTGGGCCTTAGTTTCCCCATCTGTCAAGCGGGTGCTTTGGCTTAGATGGCTCCAAAAGCCCTTTCGAGCTCACAGCTGTGAATGCTGAAAACTGCCAAGATTCTAGCATAAATCTCTCTGGATCTGAAGATTCGAATACCCTGAGGAACTTTGGTTCCAAGGATGGAACATTCCCAGGCCTCTCCGCCAATCGCCCTCACATTCTGGGCCCTTCTATCTAAAGACTTCGCATTCAAGCCTTCTCGATTATGTGATTCCCAGAGTTTGGCAGCCACCCCACCTCCTCTTACTGGGACCCCCCCAAGAAAGGAAAACCTTCCCAAACCTGAAGTCAAGTTCATTAACAGAGGCAGAGCTGGGGGAAGCGGGGCGCCCTCTCAGTGGGTTCAGGAAAGAGTAGGGTTGGTGGTGGGCCCCGGAG